AGAAACAGCTAAGCTCTTTCTTGACAATATCTATCGCTATCATGGATTACCTAAGGATATTATATCAGATAGAGGAACTCAATTTGTATCAAGTTTTTGGTGGACTCTTTTCAAGATTCTAAAAGTGGATATAAAACTATCTTCGATATTCCATCCTCAAACTGATGGACAAACGGAGCATGTTAATCAAGTTTTGGAGCAATATTTAAGATGTACCATTAATTACCAACAAGATGATTGAACAACTCTTTTTCCATTGACAGAGTTTGCTTATAATAATACGGTACATTTTTCTACAAAACAAACACCTTTCTTTGCTAATTATGGTTATTATCCACGACTTGATACTTTTGACTTTTCAAAAGTTGATAATCCTGTTGCGAAAGATTTAGCAATTCATTTATCAGAGCTATATGCAACGATGAAGGCGTAGTTAAAAGAGGCTCAAGAACAACAAAAGTTCAATGCGGATGTCTATCGAAAGGAACAACCATCATTCGTCTTGGATGATAAGGTATGGCTACTTCGTCGCAATATCAAGACCACTCGTCCTTGTGAGAAGTTGGACTATTGAAGGCTAGGACCATTTTCTATTTGTGCACAAATCAATCTAGTTGCATATTGTTTACATCTACTAGAGTCAATGAAAATCCATCCAGTATTCCACGTGTCTCTTCTTGAACCATACAAGACAGTGGACATATCAAGAAGATGACTAGTTCCACCTCCTCCTATAGAAGTGAACAATAATAAAGAGTTTGAAGTAAAAGAAGTCTTAGATTCAAGGCGGCGCCGAAATAAATTAGAATATTTTATCCATTAGCACGGATATGGTATTAGTAAACGTACATAGGAGCCAATAAAGAATCTTGCAAATGTAGCAAAGGCGGTGGAGGCTTTTCATTGACGACATCCATCAAAATCAAGATAAAAACCTTCTTTATAAAAGAAACAACATCTAGGCAAGATAACATTCTACTTTCAATTCTTGTTCATAGCTTCTTTGTAGTAGTGACGCTCAAGAGATGGAGAACCAACAACCAGTGGATTCGACTCAAGAGCCTTCATTTGTTGACCTGCCGGATGAGACATTATGATTGTCACAACCTTCAAGACGACGAAATCGAGATGAAGATCTTCAAGAACGACATGTTCTTCCTCGAATAGATGGCGAGATACAACGCGTTTGGTATCACGATTTGGAAAGGGACTCCCAATGTTTGGTGATTGTGCTAGAGGTAGGAACAACTCCTGATGGTGTTCCAAATATTCTATTCGAAAGAAGTTATGAAGGCCTCAACAATAATCAAATAATTGGGTGGTCTTCCCGACTTGGTATGGGATACTATCGATGGTTGAGAGGCCCTATCAATCATCTTCGAAGAGAACAAAGATCAGATTATGTAGCAAATATAATTCGTCGCATCATAGATTTCCTCAATATATGATGACCGCTCCTTGTGGAACTCGTTCCTAGAAAGGGGGGTAATGTCACGGACATAATCATGTAAGCTAGTAATTACATATACAAATAGATAGAAGTAAGTAAAAATAGGTAAAAGTAAGTTAATTCTATAGTATTTAATATGAAAGCTTTCTAGAAGCTTCATAGACATTGCTTTGACTTCATAGGTATCTTTGATTGACTTTTTGGATTAGAAACGTGGTCAACAAGTTGGCCATGTGCCACACATGTTATTAGCTTGAAGATCAAGCTAACTATGTGGCCCACACATAAAAAAACTTACCTTGTAAGTCAAGGCATGTGTTCTACAAAGTCAACGCATATTGGAGGTCCTATAGAACGTTGCCACGTAGCCCCTAGTTAGATAGTATATATAGAGACAAGAGTGAAGGCTTCTTCACTCTTATCAACTCCTTTCTTGCTTCGAGTCTAGTTTCAAGGGTCTCTTGTTTCTTTGTCTTTTGGCAATAGCTATTCCAGTTTCTCTTTCAATATACATACTTGTTTATTTATATTTTGTTATCTTCCTTTGACTGAAGGCTCACTTGTCTGAATTGTTTTTTCATCAAGTTCTTATCCTTGACATAAACTTGAGTATTTTTGAGGTCATTCATTTAGAAGGTGCTCACCATGTTGTGCTTTAGTTTTGTAAGATCATCCAAATCATCATTGGTAACTATGACATTATCAACATACAAAAGAACAATGGTATAGAAGCCAGATTGGATAGTAAAATATAAATTTGGATTTTCTTTGATTAATTAGATGGCTTGTTCTTTGAGATAGCTATCTATTCTTTCATATTATACTTGAGGTGTTTGTTGTAGCCCAAAAAGAATTTGGTGCAGTTTGTACACTTTTTCAAAAGTATCTATATATATATATATATATTTTAATCTAAAAAGAATATGTACATATACATCTTTGGCTAGTTTTTCATTTAGAAATGTGATTTTTATGTTAAGATGTAAGAGTCACTATTGTTTTTATGTAATAATAGCTATAACAAAGAAAATAGTATACTATCAAATAATAAGAGCAAAGATTTCAAAGTAATTGATGTCTTCTACTTGTTCAAAGCTTTTGACTACTATGTAGACTTTGAACTTGTCAGATTTGCCATTGGATCTTGATTTGATTTTGAAAATCTGTTTGGATAAGTTTGGAGTTTTCTTATATGTGGATCAACAAAGGACTATATTTTATTTTTGTAAATGGATTTTATTTCTTAATAAATAGCATTTCTTCACTTTGACTATTATATAGCTTCTAAATATGATTGTATTTCAATGGCATATTTTGTGTTGACCATATAGTTGTTTCAATACTTTGTATTAGGTTGTTTGGTACAAGTAATTATTCTATCTTGTACAATAGATACATGAGTTTCGTTGTCTACATTGTTGTTATTGTTGTTGTTATTGTTTGTATTTGATAGAGCCAAAATGGTGCTATTGATATTGATTGAAAACTTTGCTTGATGTATTTGTTGTGCAAGTGATTCTTGTGGTGGTAGTAGTGTTGATGTTCATAACTATGTTTTGTCACATGATGAGTATGCTAAGAAAAAGATTTCAGCATTGTTGAAGATAGCGATATGTAGCTAAACTGATTCAAATCCAATATGTGATTTATCAAAGTTAATAATGTAGTTGATATGAACTTTGCTGGTGGTTGGATTAAATACATGCCAAGTCTTGTTTTCATTGTTGTAGTCTAAAAAGAAACAACAATTTCTTTTATTCCCCAATTTAATATATAAATAAGCTAGAGATCCAAATATGCAAAAATGTTCTATTAATGATATGATATTCAAGTACTTTTGTTCTAGTGTAGTTCCATTGTTTGTTCTTATGGGATTAATATTGATAAGATAATTAGTAATTTAATTAACTTAATTTTGAAGAATTTGGAACATTTGCTCATAATTACCATAGATTGGGTTCTTTCAATTATTGTATGATTTTTTTTCTTATTGACTCCTTTTTATTAAGAGATACAAGCCATTATAAATTATTCACGTATTCCATAATTGAATAAGTGATTAGTAAATGTGGTACAAAGGTACTCTCTATCTTGATTTGTTATGATGCAACAAATCTATTTTTCAATTTTGTTCTCTACTTGAGATTGAAATTCTTGAAATTTTTACAAGGTCTTGTTCTTATATCTCATGAAATACATCCAACTCTTCTTAGAATAGTCATCTATAATGGCCACATAATATTTGGAGCCACTAAGAGATAAATATTTTATTGAACTCACTAAATCAAAGTGGATTAGTTGGAATATCTTATGTGCTTTATTTTGTAATTCTTTTAGAAAGCTATGTTGATGTTTTCTTACAACCAAGCAGTTTCGACATATATATTTCATAGGTTGAAATTGTAGCAATTCCATGATTCCATGTATTTGTGATAGATGCTATAGTTTGGTATAATAGAGGTGGCTGAATTGTTTGTGACATATGTAGAGGTCCTCCTTCATAGAGATAGTATTGACTTACATATTTATTCCAAATCAAAGTGATTACTAAGAGTCAACAATTTGATTTTTTTGAAAAATCAAAAGTTTTGTTAAAAGCTTAAAAAATGTGATAACCTTCTCACTAAGTTGTAACTTAATTTTTCAATAGTGCAATTCAAATGTATCTTACTATTTTCTTGGTAGACAATATTTGCATCCAAACTTGTTCTTATCCCTCTACACCTCTTTAATTTTGAGACTTCTGTTAAGTCTCCAAACTTTCAATATTATATGGCATGTATCTTAAGAAAGTAGCATTTTAAATTTCAAAAAGATGAATACTAAAATGATGAATATTTAAAAGTAGCATACGACTTTGAGCCTCAACTTTCATAGCAATGATTTATATTCTCCAAAATTTATGTTTTGTCTTCCTTCTATTCTACTAAAAAATTAATTCTTTAATGGTTTTTATATTATTGCATTCTCATCAACTTCTCACGTCTCTATGAAAATTTTAATCACCTATTTTGCTACTATCTTGCTACTATCTTAATTTAGAAAATTTCTTTCTAAGCATTCTCTTCTTTCAACACCTCCTATTGTTCACAATATCAGAAGCTGATTGTTATTTGCTTGATAAAATGCTAGTGGTTCTGAGTTGGTTTTCTCCAACATATTCTCTGCTGTAGTAAACCAAAATCACAACCATAATATCATGACAAATTAAGCAATTTCCGACAAGACAAGCCATGTAAACCGAGAAGCACAATCCGAAATTAAATAAGAGGGCTAGGAACCGACGGCAATGGTTGTAAAGAACAACAGAAACAAAGAAGGCGAAGGTTTAACACAAGAGAGCAAAGGGCAGACCAAACAGTAAAAAAAGGCACCAAAAGTGACGACAGAGCACTGGGCAGACAAACATCTGGGCAGAAAGGATCACATATGCTGCGCATTTCACGCACATTTTCCAGGAATTATTGTCCTGGTTGGTAAGAGATTTTTTTTAGGTTCCCAACCTTAGACATAGTCCATCATCCATATCCAGCGTATGCGTCCCCGAGGAGGTTTCTAATAATCGGTGTTATATCCAGGTGCAGTACATTTATTCGGTCACAGTACTAGCACAACTCCACGTTTTCAAGGGAGGATCATCTTGTATTACAAAAATTCATAATTGCCCGAGCCATGATCGAAGGCACAAACAAAGCTACCTGGATAGCCTCTTTGCCGTCGTCTCTTTCGAAGATCCAGCCATCCTAAACTGAGTGATTTAGCACATGCAACTAGAAGAGAACATTCCTCTCCTACTGCCCCTAAGTCGCGCAGCGACTACTCCAGACAATAGAGTGTTCTGCAAGATTCGATTAGAACAAACTGTAGGCTGCTTTTTTCACATAGCCGAGTTGTGGAGGATGCAACTCTGGCTGCAAAGGAACTCCCCTACACTAAAGGAACGTTGAAGGATGAGACTGTAAAAGATATCTTTTTCTGATTGAGTGCTAATGAGGTCTCCGCATTTTAGACACAAGAGAGGGCTCCTTATAAGAAATCACGCTTTCAGTCGCTCGTCGTGAAGGCCTTCCTCCATGATAAGTTATCGACGGAGGTTGGGGCTGAGGATGATCTGGTTCTTTGTGCCTACGAGGAGATTGCACTTGAGTTCGACTTAAAGAGGATCCCGACGATGGGGCTGTGTCTGCATTGTCAAATGAGTACGTGGACCCAGGCACACTGGGCTGCCTAGCACTTTTCTTCTGCAACATTTTGAGTCCATCGTGAGAAGCTGCTACCGAAGTTTGATGAAAATATTTACATTGGAACACAAACACTGGTGAGTAGGAACTGGGGTTCACGAGACTACCTTTGTAGCCGTTTGAATTTCATTCCTTTTGGGCGAGGAGGATGGATGTGAAGCAGCACTTCGCTTAGGAGTATTGGGTCGAGCTGGAGGAGGGCTCATGTTACCGGAATTCTTGTGCATTGCTGTTGCAAGTCTTCGGTCTGAAGATTTGTTTACCTCAGCTGCGTTACACTCATCCGTAGGCGAGACCTCGCCATCTAGTTCACGATGGTGACATAATTGATTAGCGGTCTCACTTTCCTTGAACTGGGAAGATGAATATTCCAAGAATGGATTGCTTCGAGACCGGCAAGAGATGGTGCTAGAAGTTGTCTGAGACTCAAACTCTTCCGATAGTTCTTGCATGGGTTCTAAGTTGTTGAGATGACCGTATCGGTTATTGAATCGCTTAGTCGAGGGTGCGGAAACCGGAGCAGAAAAAGAAGGCTCTGACGCAGAAGCGGTTAGGAAGACTCATGTTAGTGATTTAGCAAATTGAGATGAAAGATGTGCTAATACTTAAGAAACTTTAGACAATGAGTGCCGACCAGTAAGTAAATACCTCTGATGACAAAAACCAAACTTACATGTATCTTAAGTTATGGACTAAAGGAGGAACAAAAACGTTAAAAACTTTAAGCAGATTTTAAATCTAAGTCATACTATGCTCATAAAATATTTTGTTTCTTTATCACATGTATTCCGTACTGGCAGGAAGGTTTCATCGACAGAAACCTTTTCGGAAATTCCACCTCCACACAGGAAAAGAGAAATCATCACCTGAAAAGAGTAAGGAAGCGCCATCATCTTGTCTAGTTTTTGACCTTAACGAACCGTCTTTTGGAGTCATTGCACACGTCCTCTGCCGCTGACTACCTCTGTAATAAAGTCGCACTAATTGTCAATGTGAACCATCAATCTGAGGAGCAATGGCAAACATGTAAAGCAGTAGGCCAGAAGAGACGTGTGAAGCAGGTGAATAATACAAGTACGAATAATAGCTAAAATTCAAAAACTCTACTAGCAAGATATTTCGAGAACTCGTTTCCTTATTATCAGAATTGCGGCGAGATATGGATGGACCCAACTAGGCCCAATGCAGTCAAGAAAAAGTAGCGCTAAATTTTGGCATTTTCAAGTGTGCTTAAATCTGTTTTACCTTGAGGTGACAGTAGTAGTGTCGAGATAACTTGCGGAATAAGTGTTTTTAGGACAATCCTGGATGTCTGGTTCAAGAGCCACTGCATAAGATAAAGTAATTCTCGAGTAGCAGTTGTTGAAGACAGAAGATCTTCAGTAAAGTTGTCAGCTTCAGAATATCAGAAAACGAGAGCGCACAACGCTTATACATGAAGGCTGGCGCTGACAGGAAAAGAAAAGAAAATATTTTAGTTCTTTTAAATTAAAATAAATTTTCAACTTAAAAAAGTCCAAGAAGTAATCACCATTTATCATTGATCTGCGTTGTGCAGAACTATTCGTTGTGCGGCGTGTAGTAGTAATTGAATTCTTGTCTGTGTCCATCAGATCATAGGAAGCCTGGATGATAAAAGAAGCGCATCAGCAACTAACCAAACTCCTTGAGTACATAAGGTTCCTTGTACTTACATATTCGTGAACTAGTAAGTGTGCTCTGTAAGAAGCTCAGGTCATACACATACAACACGATGAGATGCAGTAAGATGATTGAACCCGACGACGAAACCGTTCCAAATTTAGGATAGTATACCTTCAAATTCATCTCTTCACTGACCCTTTTCAGCTGCTCTTGCGTCTCTGTAAGTCTCATCTGGGCAGGACGCCGCAAACAAATGAAACAACCGACTCTTGGAAGCGTCAGCGCAGGCAATTGAAACCTTTCAGAATGTTAAAATCATAAATAATCGTTATTCACGCAGTCTCTATTTTCAGTGGTGATAGAGAACTGCCGTGAGAGTCTGTTGAGAAGTTCATGCGAACATACATCGAGATTAGACACGTCATTACAAATAGATAATAACAGTTCTCCTGTATCAGGGGCTTACTTGAAAGAAGAAAAAAGTCAGCGGAAAACGGTAAGAAAATTCACCTCGAGCTCACTTTTGTTAAGTCTGTAAACAAGGGTCATTTGAGTGTACTCATGATGCAACAGTTTAAGCTGCACGAGTGGTTATATTGTTAGCAACAGATTACAAACCGTCAGAAAGTAATAGGCCGAGGAAACACCAATTATAGAAGAAGTGACCAATTGACAATGAGATGAATATCTGGAAGAGCAGCATTTAATGCATTGAAGATGAGGTACGTACTTGGTCACGTACATTGCTGAGCTCCTGTCAGAAAGAGTAACAGGAACATGGAACACACGGGAAAGTGTTCTATCAAATATGTCAAGGAAATTCTCATCTCCTCTCTTCTCTATAAAAATCAGCTAGCAGTACCTCAATTCACTTCAGAAGGGCTCAACTCACAGAAACCAAAGTGGGTCAAAACTTATGAGGTGGAAGAGCACTCTGCAGACGTAACATATGGAAATTCTTCATCTTCTCTGTTGTAAAAGAAATAACGTGGAGCCTAATCGAAATCTACATATTAACCTATTTAAACACAAGCAGTGATGAGTGGGAGTAAACAGAGCTTTCCATAGTAGAGGGAAATAGGAGAAGAGTAAACCTTCGAGAGGCGGGTATTAAAGCCGACAATCTCCTCGTTCTGCTGAGACCGCTTGCAAATATTGGTGTAAAAATCTCTTTGAATTTTAAACATGAACAGCCTTTGCGATTCTATCCCCTGACTGTATAAATTGGTTAAGGTTTGGGGCACAACTGTTATTGTAATCGTCACCAAATATCATAAACTGTATGCAAGTGCCTCAATGTCAACTCTTGATGCAGGGAGGTTCTGTTCTCCATTCATAACCTTCTTTGACCACTAATTTGTAATCAATTTCGACGCAGGGGGTTTTAAAAAGCTATGAGTAATTTTACTACAACCTGACGCCTGACACTCCACACCATCAGTTCTGAATCTCGATGAGGACCAAACAAGTAATTTCCTGCGTTTCCGTTATGACATGCCTTCGTGTACACTACAGGTCGAGCGGATTTCAAGATGTCATCGGCACAAACCCAGGAATCTTAGAGAAAGGAAGTGGATACTCTTTTTCAGCAATGACCACATCCTTCTCAGCGTTGATCTGCAGCAGCTTCTTAATCTCCTGCTTTTAACAAGAATGATGATTAGTTCCATGACCATGCAAAGACCCATCCTTAGCTCATCAGTTTCCCCATAGTTCAGTCTTCATACTACCATTAACTTCCTAAAAGATACATATTTTTGATTGAAGGAAGTACAAATCCATTAAAGAAGGGCGCCCAACGTTTAAGAAGTTGCTCACGTGGCAGAATTTTCACCTCAACCAATTGGCTCCCAGTCTTAGCATGCTGGGAACAACGAAACAGGAGAAACTTTTCAGGAAAAATTAAATCCATATGGAAACCCGGATGTGTTCATAATCTAAGTATAATTGTATCCTTGAAGTCAAAGATGCAATTCTACATGTGATCTGGTGATAATTTGATGTCTATATCTACGAATACCCGAGGAAATGAAAAGTCACAACACTCAACTCTTTTAACCACCTAACCATTTGAAAACTTCTGTAATTTAAAGCAAGTCAGTTACAGTGAGCGATAGTAGCGAAGAACGGGGCAGATTCTGCGTTAATCACCTGTTGCAGTTGCAATTCGCTGTTGCTGCACATGTTCTTCACAGGTTCATTCTCGTTGGACCAGCTGCTGCTATTGACAAGATTGGTGATGTTTGACAGCCGGTGTCTTAGCGAGGGCGTAGTTCCCAAAGCTTTTCTCCCCCTCTTTTCCTCCGCCATTACTTCACAACTTCCAATATTTGCGGATCTACAAGTTGACGCACTTCAGTATGTACCTGTCCGTCTCTGCGTGAACAAGTATCCAACACAGGTGTACATAACCAAAGTTCAAGGAGTAAGGAAGATACAAGACAAGAAGTGAACATACAAATACCGGGTGGCAACAAGTGTTTACACTATAACTAGAAGAAACTGTGAGGATAGGAGCAATTGGTTAGCCGAATAATGTATTACACGTGAGGAGAATTCTGTGTAGTCTAGGCAAGTTATACATTATACTCCCAGTGAAATGAAACCAAAAAATTAACGAAGATGTAGAGCGCGATGAGCTCAAGAAAAATTTCTCAAGAAGACATGCTTTTAGTAACACGTGGTGAGACCACTCAAGTGATCACAGCATGCTAATTCCAAGCGATCGGAAAATGCAAGCCATTCACGAAAATTACTGCTGTCAATGCTTAAGCCAGAGAGGTCCCTGTGTTTAACAGACCTCTACTAAAGACATTGTTGCAAAGAAGAAGAAGGCATACCAAGGGCGTTTGAAAGGATTGAAGAATCAAGCTCTAAAGCGAAGGTGTGTCGAGAAAGAGCTTAATTATTGTACGCCACCTAAATTGCACCATGTAAGAGCAATTTGTGAGTAGAAACTTAAGAGAAGAATTCTCAAGAACTCCCGTTTCGTTGAGCTAAACAACAGAGGTGATTAAAGACGTAAGTAAACGTTACACCTGAAAACATATATATATATATATATATATATATATATTTGTAACTCTTGAACACAGAGTGCATGCAAATTGTGAGTCACAGTTGAAGAGCTTAATACTGTTTTGCAAGACCAAAGTTGTGCTCGACCTTCAATTCAGTACTATCTGATGCAGCCACGACAATTCAAGAAAGAACCCGCAGTACACTGTTGAAAAATACTCACACAATTACTTACGCTGTCCAGGCGAAGAAACACAAATTGGCTTCACCATTTACACATGTATCTGTCTTCAGCAATGCAGAGAGAAATACACCGAAAATTTACCGAAAAAAAATTTCTGACTCGCTTGCTCCTAAAGTTCAAGAATTACGAAGCATTGTTCAGTGAATCGCTTCTCTCCAAAAGCTAATGCAATTCCACTATTCTGCACCTCAATGCATCAAAAAGAATGCAACCGAATTATTGTGTTTTAGATGCGCGAGAAGTGAGAAAGATACAGAGATTATATGCGACGACAGGTAAAAGTCTGGATCTAACAAGGTCGTGGAGGGACGAAGTAGAAACCGAAAAGCACCAACATCTTCGGCGGTGGCGACGCAGCGCTCAAGAACAGAGCAAAACTGTGCTTGAGGTGGACTGGCAACAACGGCTCAACGAGACTACCGTTTGAGAAGTGACACGAGGTTCGGACCTTGGCTCGGAGATTGACTAGGGTCTCCGAGCCTAGAGTTAAAACAGGTTCCCAGTTCGATGAGATCCAACTGTGGCTGGTCAATGCAAGTTGATTTCCGTGAGCCACAGCATTGCATTCTGTTTGTATTGGTATAGAATGATTTAATTCCTGAAGTAGGCTTTGCGGACTCTCAAGTTGCTTTTCCTTTGAAATTCACATCCATGACCTTCAAGCCCCTCACCCATCTCATTTGGTTACAGTACACTGGGGGGGATCTTAGGGCAAGGATGGTCAAGAGATCTGTATACAGAGATTGCTGTAACCCATACTAACGCATGTCTCATAAGTGCATAAATTGACAAATTGGGGGTATCACGGATAGTATAACTAAATATCACAAATTAAGTCACAATGATACTAACTAAATTTATATATTACTTAGATTTCTACTAAAGACTCAAAAATAAGTGTGTACCAAGTAAGCTCACAGTTGGTTCTACGTCAACTCCTTTTATAAAAGAAACATATTTGGACATATGTTGTCTAACACTTTCAGTGTCCAAATAATTCAGGTTCAATAATTCAGGCGCAGAAATTGATAACGAAGCATAGGACACCAAATGTGCACTGGAAACATGAGTCCCCTGGTAGGTTCTAGCGGAGAGTAGACCCAACTCTGTTCAAACGGTTCTGTAAGGTCAACTAGATAATGTGGACGCATCACCCATGGTGGCAAAGTTTCGGTGGGTTTCGTCCTTCCACTGAGTGTGAAAGATAGAGGTGGCAACCAGCAACGATCATATAATCAGAGTGTAACTCAATCACCATTCTATGCATTATCAGAATGATTCATTCGTCTTCGGATGAAAGGAAGCAGCGAGTGACTTTTTCATCCTTGCCGTAATGGCAGCAAGGGGGGTACAGGCACCTGGCTTAATAACAAGTACGAATTACTTGTCTTTGCTTCATTCAATTTTGGGTTTTCACGGTGCTGAATTCACACCTAATTAGCCAAATTAGATTATGACTGATGTCATAAATTCAGTACTTGCGCAAGCTAATTTTGTTTAACAGCTTCTTCTGCAAATGTTTATCTTGTAAATTCAATCAGAAATACTGTTGGATGAGGAGTATGTAAAGTCCTGATTGCCTCTGCGTAGGGCTAGTGTGGATGCAGATATCTTTGTAGCAGAGGCATGGGAGATGTGGAACGACCGTGAGAAGATTCCTCGTTGGATAAAGTGGATTGACAAAGTCAAGGTAAAGTGCTTAATTTTGATTCTTGCAAGGCTTGGTTTAGACATCTATGCAATAAAGATATGTTTTCTTTCTTTCTGTGTTGCATCATCTAGAGTTTTACACCACCATTTGGATGCACACAAGTGTCTAAACAGAAGCCAGATTTCTCCAAATGGACACTAGGATACCGTACTTTTAAGAGAGATTTTGAATTTTAGTAGTTGGCTTGAAATATGAAGGTGACATTGCGTGTTATTTCTTTTTTCCTTTTTTCATAATTATTTTTAAACTCTTGTGGTTTATACTATTGTGTTTGACCTTGCATCCTCCAAGTCTCAATTGTTAATTATTTTTTGTCAATTTTTTGCCAATTTTGATGGCAAGAATGGTTATATGCCATAAGTCAATTTTTCATAAGTAGTTACATAATATCAAGTAGACTATCAAGCTTTTGATCTTTCATAAACATGACTATCATAGTATGTGCCCTAAGCACCAAATAAAAGAAACAAAACAAGATTTCAAGAATCATCAATTTTTAATAAAAGTGGCTCTAAATATATAAAAACAATTATCAACATAAAATTAATCTCAATGATAACACTTTCAAATTAAATACTTCAAAGTAGCAATCTAACCATATTTTATAATCAACTAAAATCTAATAATATGGCTCTTACTACATTGTATAATAAATTATATATTAAACACACATATATATATATATATATATATATATATGCATTATTTTCACATGGTAGTCAAATGACAATACAACATCCACTTCTTCCAAACTTGTGCATACTCTAGTATGCACCAAAAAAAATCAAAGTTGTGGTTGACATTATATTATCTTCTAAACATTGTCTTTTTTATGATCTATTTCTTCTTCTTCATTAATAAAGAAATCAATATCTTCTCTAATACCTTCACTTATTATATCTTGATTTCATTGCTTAAAAAAATTTATATATTTTTTTGTAATTAGAATCTTAAAGTATACTCTATCTAATTCTCTTAATATATATGTAGCATTATCTAAAATATTTACAACCACAAAAGGCCCAAACCAACATTTTAAAATTTTTTACAAGGTATTGTATTGCTTATTTAAACTACTATCATAAAGAAGCACTCAGTCACCTCCATGAACTTTTTGTGGCCTTAAATAGTGCCACTTATTAAATCTGTCCTTACTTTTTAAGAGTGCCTCTTTCAACTTCACAATTATTTTTTTTATGTCTTTAGATCTTCTTTTTAGCTCACGAATTTGAAGTGTAAGAAATTCTTCCCTACACATGTTATCTTGCAAAGATAAAATACTCTAAGTGGATATTTGTTCTTTAATTGGCATAATAGATATTTATCCTTATATCAATTCTATTGACATATATCCAATTACTAAACTATGAATAATATGGTCAACCCATAGAAGAAATGATAATAATCTTAATCATTCTATTGTTTTTTTTTTATTTATAGGCTTTAACAATAGCTTTAATTATTGGAGGATGACCTTGCTCATTCTTGGTATTACCTTAAGGATTATATGTTATTGTAAGTGCAAGCTTGATTTCACGTCTTTCAAAATATTCTCTTCATGAGCATCTAATTCTCTATGATGAATAATAATCTTTCCAATACATCAGTATTCACAAACTATATCTTTCAATAGAAATCCACAAAATATCAAAGACATAAACCTCAAAAAATTAAAATATCAATGTATTCTTGTGTCACTTGAAAAGTCTAAAAAATCACTCAAAGATGATATAGTATTAAATTAGAATGGCTATTGCTAAAGACAAGAAGCCTAAAAAATCTTCAAACAAGACTAAAGATTAGAAAAGCATTGATAAGAGTGAAGAAGTCTTCACTCTTGCCTCTATATATACTCTTAACTAGGAGCTACATGGCAATGTCGTATAGGACCTCTAAAACATGTTGACTTTGTAAGATACATATCTTAACTGACAAGGCAATTTTTTTATATGTACGTTATATGGTTAGCTTGTTTTATAAGCTCTCAATACATGGTTAACTTGTTATCAAAGTTTCTAACTTATCAATCAATGACAAATACATGTAAAGTCAAAATAACATCTATAAAGCTTTTAAGAAGCTTTTTTAGAATATATTATGAAATAAATTTATTTTTATTTACTTCTACTTAATCATATAAAAAAATATTGGAATAAATATATGTCCATGATATTACTTCCCTTCTCATCCTTCTAGAGACGAGTTCCAAAAGGAGCAATCATCATATATTAAAGAAATTTAAGATGCGACAAATTATATTTGCCACATATTCTAATCTTTATTTTCTTTAAAGATGGTTGATAGGTCCTCTCAGCTATTGATAGTATCCCATACTAGGACAAAAAGACCACCTTGTTATTTGATTATTGTTGAAGTATTCATAACTGCCTTCAAATAAAACATTTCAAACATTATTTAGAATCGTTTCTCCCTCTAATAAAATCAACAGACATTTGGAGTTTCTTCTAAGGTTGTGATATCAAACACATTGTATCTTGCCATCTATTTGAGAAAAGACATGTTATTCTTGAGGATCTTCATTTTGAATACATCATCTTGAAGGTTGTGACAATTGTAATATTTTTTTCGATAAGTCATCAAGTAATAGTTCTTCAATTGAATCTATTGATTATTGATTTTTTATCTCTTTAGTATCACAACTACACAAAAGTTACAAATAAGAATAGAAGGTAGAATGCTAGTTTTTTTTTTAGATTTTATTTCTTTATAAAAAAGATTTATTATTCTTCATTTTTGTTTTGATGGACGTCATCAAAGAAAAGCCTCAACCTTCTTTTTGTATTTGTAAGATTCTTTGCTGACTTCCATGTACATTCATTAATATCATATCTGTACCAATGAACAAGATATTTTAATCTATTTTGATGCTACCTTGAATCTAAGACTTCTTCTACATTGAATTTTTGATTATTTTCCACTTTTATAAGAAGAAGTGGCATTTTTCTTTTTCTTGAGATATTTACTATCCTATACGGATCAAGAAGAGATATATGCAATACAAGATGGATCTTCATAGACTTTAGTAAATGTAATTGATAAGCAATAAGATTGATTTGTTCATAAATAAGAAAAGATCTAAGCCTATAACAGTCTAACTTGTCATAAAGATGAGTAGTCTTGATATTGTGACAAAGTAGCCATATTTCATCATCTATTATGAATTAAAGATGTTTATTGTAATAGACATTTGCATTGATTTTTTGTTTTTCTTAAGCTTCTTTTAATTGAGCCTTCATTTTTGCATATATCTTTAATAAATGATTTGCCAAATCTTCTACTATAGAATTATCAACTTTTAAAAAGTCAAAAGTATCAAGTTGTGGATGATAATCATAATTGATAAAAAAGATATTTATTGAGTAATAGAATGTATCAAATTATTTTATGCAAACTTTGCCAATAGGAAAAGAATTGTCTAATCATCTTGATGATAATTGATGGTACAATTCAAATTTTGTTCCAAAATTTGATTCACCTATTTTATTTGCCTATTGGTTTAAGGATGAAAAGCCAAAAAAAACTTTATATCTACTTTTAAAATCTTAATATAAATTGAGTCTTCATATCTAACATAATATCTTAAGACAATCCATAATCGTAATAGATATTGTCAAAAAAAAACCTTAGTTGTTTCTTCACTTATGATAGATGTATACATGGTAC